GAAGAGGACTGCCCTGCAGGGCGCTCTGGTTCTCCGCTCCGCCGCCCCCTACAGGGCAGCCGGAACAACAACAAGGGGAAAAAAAAAAAAAGCGGCCGTGCCGCCCTAGGATTGGGCAGAATGCCGCCTCCAACAATCTGCCGCCCCAAGCACCAGCTTGCTCAGCTGGTTCCTGGAGCCGGCCCTGACTCCACTTCAAATATGGCTGAGGTAGACACGTTTTTCATAAGAATATGTTTGGTCTAAAGCCACTGAGCTTTTTAAATTCAGGAATAGAGATTCAGAGCATCCTTCCCTCTATCCCCACCCCTCCCTATTTTCTTCATTATCAAGAATACCCTTTGGATTAGAAGATCACAGAACTATAGCATACACTTTAAAAGAAACCTCAAGGAAAAAGTGGGGAGGGGAGATCCCTAGAAGTAAAGAAACACATGGCAAATAACCAAAGCTTTTCAGTGAAAAGGCCTATTTACTGTTCAGGGAAGAATCCCCCTTTTTTACCTTGTTTTCCAATGGACAGAAGTCCTCATATTCCACAAAGCCTATGGGAAACAGTGTCTAGGAGGACAGAAAGCTCAGGTTCCCATCATGAGCTTTAACCACATAATAGAAAGCTGAAAATATAACTTCTGGAACCAAATGCCACCACGGGACGATCATCTCCCCCAGCCTGCATCTGCCAGAAACACAGAAAGATTCACAAATGCTCCAAGGCAAATGGCATCCCCATCTCAACATTTTAATGTGTTTTTATACTTGGGTCTATTTAAAGAGGTTTTTTTAAGAAAACAAAATGAAGCCATCATTTACTGTACAAAAAGCACTTTGAGAAGCATTTAATAGGAATATATTGTCTTACTGTAGGCTCTTTTCAAAAGCAAAGATATTTCTAAGTACAGCTGGGGGGAAAAATTAACCTTCTTCTATGAGGAAATTTTTTGAAATATTGACAATTTCGGGTCGTCTCTATTTTTAAAGCATTTCTAGAACTAACTTCAGAGACTGTTTGCGTCCTCATTTATGGTTAAATGTTTAAATCACAGTACAAATCATGGAAATATTTTTACTGGTAAATGTTAGTAAGTCAGTCTTGCATTGATTGAGGTACATAGGACAGAAGAGAACACTGAAACTGCTTAAAAAGACTAGTAATAATTTTGTGGCTGAGTGTGGGTTTGAAGAGGAGAAGCAGTTCTCGTAAGAAGTACCAGATAGATGGCATTGAGGGCCCCAGTTCAGTAAAGCACTTAAGCATGTGTTTAAAATCCATCCCTGTTCAACAAACCGCTTATTCTTGTACTCAGCTTTAAGCATATACTTAAGTCTCCCAAAAGGCTAAGCTGGGTTTATGACTGCTTTGCATCACTGGAATGGCATAAAGCAGACGGTGCAAGCCAGTGAATTTGGGCATTATCATTAGAAGCTTATATAAAAGCACACATTGGAAACTGAAGTTAATTAGAGCTTTCCAAATAAACTATATCTTGACATTTTTTAATGCATATGGACTGCAGCATATTTTAGTACAGTACTGTGAAAAACCAGATGGCACGACAATAAGATCACCCGTCAAGTAGGGGAAAATCAACAATAGGTGCTGTTAGCAATACACAATTCTTATACATCTACAAAGACCAAGTACTTTTACAGTATCTCATCAAGGTTAATTGTCATTGGTTCTGAAATGTTAAAAATTCTAAGAGCTTTGCTCAAAAAGAAATGATTAATGCACATGTCAGGGAATTTTCTTAATATGTAGGTACGGCATTAGTCATCTATTCTGATTCACAATGAAACCTATGGGGCACGGTGGGAAGTATTTACCATGCTAGATGTTGAATTTAGTCTGACATGTAGACTTTTAAAGGGTAATTATTTGAAGTTTCCTGTATGAAGGAACAAAGGCACAAGGCCCACGAAACTAGAAATGGTTGCATAGAAGTAAGCAACTGACAAAGCAACTTCTTAACGGAGCCCCTTGTCGCTCCAATAAAGAAGGCCTGATATCGGCTTTGCTTTCCCATTTCTTTGTATCACCTTAAGACTATTAGGAATGCCAAGTCTGGCTTTCCCTGTTTTGCTGGAGGTTTCCTTGGGAGGACCCGGAGGTGGGTTGCTCAACCATTAGCTGAAAAGAATGAGATTTTGAATCTTTGACTAAAGTGTTTTTCTCCCAGCTGTTACTGGAGTGAGATGGATATTAACAGAAAACACAGCACAGAGACGCATGTATGGCTGCAAGAGAATGACATGATGCTATGAGTGGAGTTCAACTTAGGCCTTATCTATACATAAAAGTTGTACTGTTTTAACTATATCAGTATAATGCAAATGGCACAGCCTCCCTAGTGTGAATGCAAGTATACCAGTATAAAAGTGCTTAAACTGGTATAGTTTACTCCTGTATGGGAAGGGGCATAAGCTATATCAGTATAAGGCACCTGTATACAAATATAATGGTGTCTACACTATAACTACATTGGTTAAACAAAAATCACACTCCAAAATAGTTATGCTGGTACAAAAACAATGTGTAGACCAGGCCTTACCCTCTGTCGTCCTTTATGCCTTTCCATTTATTTATGTTTTCTCTCTTGATGACGGATCCAGCTCGTTCTGATACCATGACCTGTGGGATAGCCAAGAGCAAGGAACCCAGAAGGGAATGTATGGTTGCCACAGAGCTAAATGTTTGATACAAGGTGGGATATAGAAGAGTGAAGCACAGTTTTCAAATACAGTGAAAAATCACAACAATATCGCTTAAGGCCCAGAGACAGCCAAGTACATACCTACATGCTTCACTTTATAGCCAATTCAGTACAGATGCTATTCTAAACACTGCCTCCTCCTCACATACCATGAAGCATGAATACAGGTGCTGGGCTCATTGCTCATCCACCTAATTTCCAGCTCAGAATGCTATTAAATCTTCTGCCTCCCGACTGTCATTACATTTGCCCTCACACAGTCAAAATGTTATCTGAAAATGCACACTGGCTTTTACTTCGTTAACTTGTGACATCATTCTTCAGCTGTTCAGACTGCCAGATAAGGACGTCATCGGGTAACAAATTAATAAAATGTCCTTATTAACAAAATAAACCGAGAAATCCTAAAAACGTGCACATCGCCACATTACCAGCTGTTGGTGTGACAGAAGTCAAAAAAGAGTAAATGCAATATGAGGAGGGAAGATTTACAAAACCACAGATAGATTGAAAGGTATCCTTCCTGGGTAATATAAAGAAATTGATATACTAGTTAATTTTGGAATTCCTTAAGAGCGTCAATAAATTATACAATGAATTCTTAGGCTTCTAAGAAACAATTGACAAAGTTCTATAGTGAAAGTCAATGTCTAGAGGGCAAAGTTTTGGAGTTTGGAAAGTTAGTTGAAGAGCAGGAAATAAAGCAATCATTGAATTATTTTGAAGCTAAAAAGTTATTCAGAAGATACCCAAGAGAATACTATTCAGGGCTAAAAGCTATATTCACTTATGTTCCCATTGACTTCATATCTGAGATCAGAGTTTGGCCTTTCCTATTTATGTACACAATCTAGAACCAATAATTTAAAGTAGGATTAAAGATGACGTTATACTACAACAGTAAATACCAAGGAACAACAGTTAAATAGCAATTACTTATGTCACTTGATTGCTTGATTGAAAAGATGGAAGATGCAGTTCATCAGAGATACGAGTTCTGGATCGAGGCACAAAAAACTCCCGAACAAACAAACAAGCAAAAAACCTAGGCTTATTCACTAAATGGAAACGTACTGCTGCCTTTTAGTGATCAGAAAATGCTGTAAATTATGAAGTTATTGTGAAAAAAATCCGTAAAACTTTTAGACCCAATTTGCAGCTGTAGTGAAGAAGGCAAACAGGATGCTGGTTTATGCTGCTAGCAGAGGAGAGTGTAAATCAAAGGAAGTGACATTGCTATATACAAAAACAACAAGGAGTCCAGTGGCACACGCCATGCATCTGAAGAAGTGGGGTTTTTTTACCCACGAAAGCTTATGCCCAAATAAATTTGTTAGCCTTTAAGGTGACACCGGACTCCTCGTTGTTTTTGTGGATACAGACTAACATGGCTACCCCTCTGATAATTGCTATATACAGCTGCTACTCTTTAGCTCTGCCTTACTTCACTACTGGTCTATTGTGTATCATTTGTTCAGTGGAATTACACCAAAAATGAATTTGGCTCAGTGTCCCTAGAGTCCAGAATGGGCAAAATATGCGAAGTTCTCAAAAATGTTAGTTATGAGGTTCAGGATGTTCAGTTTATTCTTGCATATAAATACTTAAGATTTCATTGTGTATTTTTATTATTATGAAATGGATCCAAGTACAAGTGAAATCCTCACTGTTTCAGAGAGCAAAAGCCAATAGGACATAGCTGTATATCTAGGGTCTTATTTGGCGGTATCTGAGCACCACCCAAAATTCTGACGTGAATATATAACATGTATCCTTTTTCTTCCAGTTGTCACAGGCTGGGTATTTATTTTTGGGTGGCGTTATTGTGGGAAAGTAAGGATGAAGAAATGGATTTTGTAGTCTGCTCTGAAAGTGCTGTTGTTTGTAATCAAATTGATCTCTTCCAGGAGGGAGTTCCAGATTCAGGGGCGGTTGCTCTGTTTCCAGCCCACATCTTACACTGGAAGCTGGCAGTTTCATTGCTCCAGAGGAGAGTAGCCATCGTATCATACCATAACTATGGAGAGTGAACAGCCTGTCCCTCGGGTAACTTGGCCCACTCCCATGTGAGGCATTAAAGTTGGAGATCAAAATCTTGAATTCGACCTGGATTTTCCTGGGGAGCCAGTGAAGAAAACAGAGAATTGAGCGGATGGGCCCTCAAAGGCGTGTGTTGCTGAGCATATGGTTGATTATGTTCTGAACCAAATTTAGCTTCAGATACTATCTGCAGCACAGATAGCAAGGCCTATAGTTAAGATTGCCTGACAATTCCCATTAGCGGCTTATAACCATTTAGACTGAAATTTTCCATGTCTGGTGTCTGACTCAGGTATATATAAAAGTTACAGTTAAAGCAATTCTGACATTTCCAAGAATGAGGTTAGAGGAAAATATGTTGTTTTGTATGTAAAAGAAAATCGTAACTGTTTCATAGAGACCCTCTAGAACCTCTGTGCTACGGAGTAGCAACTTTAAATTTGGCAAGGGGTTGCTCTAGTGTCAGGGATGTGCCTTTTGCCAAAATCTGCCTAAATTTGTAGAGACTTCTTAGAGTTTGGCAGGTAAAATTTCTGAAGTCTGTCCTCACTGAGCAGGTTCAAGCATCTCACAACTCCTAGCACTGACCAGACTGTGCATGCACCATCTCCACAGAGCAAATGGGTATGTTGCCTCCAACCCGGCCCCGCAGGGACTGAGAGCTTTTCCTGCAATTGCTCCTTCTGTCCGCCAGGGGCTGAAGTGATGTCTGGAAGCAGAACTGAGAGCAGGGAGCTTGCCTCTTCTGTGCTCTCAGTGGTCCTTCTGCTGGCACCCAGGCTGTGAGGATGAGAAGGAGAAGCAGCCTGTCTCCAATGCAGAGAGGTGAGGAAAGGGGGTGGAGGGACAAGGGCATAGGAGCCAGTGGAAGGGATGGGGGAAGAAGGGGAAAAGAAGATGGGGAGGGGAGAGGGGCAAAGACAGG